GGATTGAACTCAGGACCTTGCACTTTTGAAGCAGGCACGGTGCCACTGAGCTAAATCCCCAGCCCCTTTCATCCATTTTTTAATTGGACTTTGTGGTGGAAATATTGAGTTGCATGAGTTATTTATGCATTCTGGATGTTAACCCCTTATTAGGTATATGATTTGGAAATATTTTCTTCCATTTCATGTGTTGCTTTTTCACTCTGTTGATAGTGACCTTGATGAGCAAGTTTTAAATTTTAATGTAGTCTAACCTATATTTTCCTTTGTTGCCTGTGTTTTTGGTATAGTATCCCAGAAACCAGTGCCAAATTGAATGTCATGAGGTTTTACCCTGTGTTTCTTCTAAGAGTTTTTGTTATTGTTTTGTTCTGTTTTGCAATTCAGATGCCTTAGTTTCTCATTACCAGGATGAAACATCCAACACTAACAAATTAAAGGAGGAAAGGCTTTTTTAGCTCACAGTTTGTAGAGATTTCACTCCATAATTGTCTGGCTCCAAGGCAGGGCAGCACAGCAGAGGAGCACTGCAGAAAAGAAACAGTCCATAGTGTGGCAGGCAGAAGGCAGAAGCAGGAGCAGCAAGCCTTCCCTTCCCTTTAATCTCATCCAGGCTACAAGCCATTTGGTTGGTGCTGCCCACACCCAGGTGGGCCTTTCCATTATCCACACCCAGAATTACGTTAAATGAGTCAAATTTAGTTATCACACACCCTTAATCCATATTCACACAGCCTAGATCCAGCCACCTCTGAAAAGCCCTACCTATGAGGACATGAGGCTTTGGGAGAACATCTAGATCCAAGCCACAACAGCAAGGATCAAACCAAGGGCCTCATGCATGTGAGGCAAATTCTCTACCACTGAGCCACACCCCAGCCTCTAGGAATTTCATAGTTATAGCTCTTACATTTAGGTCTTTGGCCCATTTTCAGTAAACTTTTCTGTGTGATGTAAGGTCAGGGCCCAACTTCATTTCTCCAGTGCCAGGAGTGTTGGCTGAAGTTCACAGATGAGTTCCTTTGTTTAAGGAATTACCTTACACAAAAACAAAAGGGTTCCTTCTCTCCCTAGGTGTCACCCCCATTCATTGATTGGTCTCTCTGAGAGTGCAAAGGCTAGCTAAACTCTGAAGTGTGGTCATAGCTCCAAAGCTCTTCACAGTTTAACCTCTTCTGTGCTGGGGCCTGCTTCTTTTCCATCCTCAAAGGAGGTGCTCCTGAAATACAACACATTTCTACATGAGAACTTTAGAATCTGTTTCCCAGGGAGCGAATCTTTAAAAAGTGAAAAATTTTTAAAAAGAAAAAGATGTTCCATGTATTTATTTATTGGTTCTCAGCTCTATATCTGTACTTCATAGGGAGCTGGAACCTATAGACTTGTTTATCAAAGGGCACAGTGCTAAACTTTATCAGTAGAGGACACTGGAGGGATATTGGGGGAGGAAAGGGTTCTCTTTCTGGTTCCAGTTTGCCCAGTTTGGCAGACTCTTGCAGTCATCTGGTTTCAGCAGCACCCAATGGTCTGCAGCACAGCAGCATCCTCTAGAACTCCTGGGGTAAGTTCATGGTAGAGTGCTATGACTGTTAATCCTGATATGTCAACTTCATTGGATTAAAAAATGCCTAGTTAGGGGGCCGGGGATTTAGCTCAGCAGTTTTGCCACCTGCTGCACAAGTGCAAGGACCGGAGTTCGACCCCTGGTACCAAAAAACAAAAACAAACAAATAAACCAAATGCCTAGCAGATTAGTAGAGCTTGCCCCTAGGTGTGTCTGGATGGGTCATGGAGGCATTGCGTTGAGTACTGTATTGGTCTCTTACCCACTCCTCTCGGATACTATTCCCCTGCTCTAGTTCCCCACCACTATGAACTAAGCATCTTTCTTTCAGCACACCCTTCTGCCGTGCTATTTTTACCTTGGAGCCAGGCAACCAGGGACTAAATTTCCTGAAACCATGAGCCAAGTTAAACCTCTCCTCCTTTAAATTGTAGGTGTCAGGTTTTGTGTCCAGCAATGAGAAAGCTAACTACTACAAATGCTATCAAGAGGTACCACTCCATGAAGAGTTTCCCCTGGATTTCCTTGGATAGTTTTATAATGAGTTCTAAAATGTGGCACTTCCTTGTGGATATGTTCCCCTCCAGAAAACAAACTTCTAGCAAGCTTCTCCAGCCTAAGACTTTGTGACCTTCTTTGCCTTTAGTGAGTCACAGCCCTCTGCAGTGAGATCTGCCTCCCAGGACTAGAGGAGCTGCTTCCTGTACATTCTGTCTCAGTCCTAGGGAAAGTGGCTATTCTTGGTACCTGCCGTTCCTGAGTTCTGGAGAAGTCTCTTGACTCCTTATTATCCATTCCTTTATTGCTCAAATCCTCTGTAATAGTTAATAGCTCTTTACAACAAACTATTCTCTGTTCAATTTGCTGTGAGGTTTCTAACTCCTAGCTGAATCCTGACTGATACTTTAGGTTATATAGCACATCTGGTGTCAGCTTAGGGAAAATACAATGATCTATACATGCAGATAAAAAAAATAAGACCTAAAAAAAGCTGCACCAAAGCTAGAATTGAAAATGATTTTTTCTTTATTGTCTAGATCAGGTTACTTTTATAAGTACAAAAAAAAGTTTAGAAGGAAAAAATAGATCATAATTAGCTTGTAAGGTCCTTGGTATGTGGTGAATACTAACTTAACAAAATTCAATTGGCTGTATGTCATAAAGCCTTACCACTCAAAGTGTGGTCTTCAGACCAGCAGCACAAATAGCATTTAAGAGCTTGTTAGGAAATGAAGATTCTCTGGGCCGCTGCAGACCCCTGTGCTATATCAGTCTATATTTTAACACATTTGCCAGGTGATGCATATGCATATTTGAGACACAAATTTTGAGAAGCCTTGCTACAATGAACAGTTTAACTAGTAGCCTGGAATTTGGCAGGGGAACTATAAAAATAAGCCTAACTCTCTCAGGGGAGCTACCAACTGGTTTCTAAGGAATTTGTTGTGTAGAAATGGGTATAGTCCAGCACCTTCCTCAACAACAGTGTTCAAATTTTGTGCATGTTGACACTTTATCTGTCATGTCCTGAATTATCATCTGAAATCTTAGGTAATTACACTGATTTATTGTTTATTAGTCAATAGTTAGTTCTTTAATACATTGAGTTCCCCCAGAAGACAATGGCTTTTGTAACTATTATTTTTGTAGGCAGTGCAATCCAAAGAAGAGAGGAGGGTAAAGAGACAAAAGTAAGGGAGGAGGGCGAGCAAACAGAGGTGCATTATGATCTTAGCTCTGGCTGGCTGCACCTAATTAACTATGAGCACATGCCCACAAGATGTAGTGTTACCTAGCCACAGGATCATCCATTGGTGAGAATGAAGGAACTATTTATTTCCATCTGTCACTGGCCTGATGTTTGCCCCCACCTCCTGCACTTCCAGGATGTACATCCCTGGGTGCAGGTGTCTAGAAAAATCTCATAGTAGAAGGGACAAGAAGTCCTAGGCAGAAAGTGGGAGGCTCATGAGACAGCAAGAATCAGGTGTTCTCAGGCTGCTCCTCTCTAATGCTTTAGAGCCCGTGGAAAGTTAATTATCATAGCAGCCACGGAAATCAGAGAAATAAAAATACTAGGAACCATAGAGAAGGGCAAAAGTGGTAAGAGGTTTCTGACCCAGAAACATAATTAAAGGAATATTTCAAAGAAGGACATTTTTTTATTATTTGAAGAGTCAGTATCTATAATTGTACTTTTCCCCAAATAATTTAGTAACATTTCCACTTTCTTTTAAGAGAGTGTCAGAGATGCTCGCAGGTTAAATATCTGTGAGATAAACCAAATGCAAACAAGAATTAATACAAAGAATGATGAAATAAAGTCTCTAAAGAAGACAATAATCAGCCTGAAAAAAGTGAATGAAGCTCTGGGGTAGGTATTTTAAATTCAGTACTTGAGGGAATAGGGTTCTGGGGCTGGATTGGGAAAACTGTGGTTCAGGGGATTTACCACATGATCTGAGCTGGGCAGGGCAACTTCATTAAGAGGTAGAGATTGGTTGTAGAAGATGATCCAAGCAGATGAGGGAACTAGGCAGGGGGGCAGAAAATTTTCAATCATTGCACCAGGAGACCTCAGCCTTCCAGCAGCAACCAGTGCTTGCTTCTAAATCATATCTATTTGAATGCAACCTCCAAAGATAGAGGCCCACAGAGGTTTTAGCTCCCATATCCATAGAATTTATCACCTCCAAAGGAAGAAGGCTGGCTGAGATTGTATTGTAAATATAATATCAGACCAGATCTGCTCTATCTAGTCTGGTTCCTTAAAGATATTCAGTCATACTTACAATCTGATGGAGGGCTGAAGATGGGATTCGTTCCCAGAGGAAGATCCCCAATTTTATCTGTAGTTAAAGGAAATAACAGGTGTAACTGCATATAGCTCAGGATCTGACATCTGTGATTTCCCTTTCCTGTGTTGCCTGAGGCCAGCACTGCACCCATTTGTTCCATCTGTAAAACACAAATCACAACTCTTCACTTACCTAGCTCAAGAGGGTAAGTAAGAGCTGTGTTCTGGGGAAAAAATTGAAGAATAACTTAGTGCTATGAGCAAATTTGCAAAACTAATGCATAAATATCAAAATGTTGGTTTTCTAGAAGGAGAACTGTTCAAAATGGCCCTTCTCACAAGAAAAAAATCTTTATGAAAAGCTAATATAATTGGGAGGCTGCTTGGTGCAGGATATATCAAAGTATCAGTCATTAGATGAGGACCTCGGTACCTGGAACAAGCCCTCAGAACACTGTGCTGGGAGAAGCTCCATGAAAAAGAAAGCTCATATTGACTCAAGTTTGAGGAATACAGAATATTCTAACCCCACTGGGGATTCACAGTGCAGATCTGTGCATAGTGCACGCTCACCATAGTTGCCAGCGACAGCTATGTTAAGTAGACTATTTCTACACCAACACACCAGAAGAATAATGCCCAGGATGGATGTTCATATCACTGGACAATAACATCACACCCCTCTATTCCTGTGATTCTCAAACTTGAGCAAGCGTCAGAATCACCTGGAGAGCTTGATAAAACACAAACTACTGGAATTCAATAGGTTCAGGATAGCTGGGTGGGGACTAGAATCCTAACAAGTTCCAAGGTAACACTGATGTTACTGTCCAGACAACACTTGGAGAACCACTGCTTTAGACAAGTCCTCTTGGAAGACAAACTACCAACAGAAGGTGGTTGCTTTGTGAGCTAGTGACACCAAACTGCAATCACTTGTTGCATTTGCTTTTCAAAGAAAGTTGCATATGATGGTGCCCACATTCTGACAGACAGTGAGCATATCTCTTCTTCTTCCTGAGCAATCCTGGAAAATGAGAGACAAGACAGCTCTTGGGGTGTGCTTACCTTAAGGCTCAAACTTTCTGTGGGTGTTTTCTTCTCAATCCATAGTTTTGCTTTGTTTGTTCGTTTATTTTTTATTTTGTGCCTTTCCCCACCCTGAGCCTCATGCTCAGGTTTCCTTTTATTCCACTTCTTTTGTAGAGATTGACTTCTGGAAAATAAACTTCCAACCAGTCTATTCCCATTTTTCTGTGCCTTCAAACACAACCCCCTGAGTTAAAGTCTCTAACCCAGGGACTAAAAAAAGGAAAGTGTCTTTACATTGAAAGAGATTTCAAAAAGTAAAATGGAGAAATAGAATCATTTATCGTTCCTTCAAATCTGTATTATTAGCCCTTGGGTAGATGTTTTTCCCAACGTTAAGTCTTCCTCCGATGGATATGACCAGAATCTGACAGAGGGCTTGAAGAGATGAATTGCTCCTCTTGTACTCAGATCTGGCCAAGAAGATAAAAGGATTGAATTAGGCCTCAAGCATCTTCCAAAGAGTAAAGATGGACTCAGTCTCCTCTTTTCCCTTGCTTCTGTCCAGAGGAAGGCTGGCTTTCTCTTGGCCCACCCTGTCTGCATCCCAGGGTGGCTGGACGTGGGGTAGGATGTGCATCTTTCTTTGCCATAGCAGCATATCTCAGGGTGATAGGACAGGTATGAAGACAATACGTATCAAACATTCATCTGGCCAGATCCCATTCACCTTTTCAAAATGACTTTTGAATCATTCTGGGCCTTACACAGAAAAGTCTTCTATGTACTGCACGGCATGTGAGGACAGATGAAGTGACGGCGAACATGGACATCTTTGTAGCAAGTGAACAGTTGGGAGACCGACACTTGTTCTCTGTTTTCCTCTGCCCCCATCTCAACCAAATTTAAACAACGCCAAACACATCTGGAGAACATGCACCCTTAGGGGTTCCCTCTCATCCTATCAAAAAGACTTTAAACTCCTTTCCCAAGTACCATCTTTTTCATGGCAAGAGCGAGTCTTTCCTCCTAGTAAAAAGCAAGAAGAGCTGGAAAAGCAGCATGAGAAGCTTGTCCTGTCACTCAATCAAACAATGCAAGAAAAATCCAAGGCCATCATTTACATAAATGATACCTGTACCAGAATAAGCTCAGAAAGAGAAGACACAGAGGTACAAAGAAAACATGTGCAGGAAACAGAGGAGCAAATAGCCAAACAAATTGCAGAATATTTGCTAAGAAAACAGCAACTAACTACACAGGTAAGTGGCGTGACTTATTTTTTTAATACAGAATTATTTATAGCCTGGAGTGGGAAACTGGAAATGATATATTTGTCCTCACAGCTGGCAAGTGCTCTTCATTATATCTTCTGTGAGCACTAAGACAAGAATAGGGCTGGAGGCTCAAGGACATTTGGCGCCTCATGGAAAAGACATTTGATTGTGTCCCCACATCTCAGTTCATGGGAAAGGATGTAAGTGGCAGGATTCCTAACAACTGGGGTGGCCCCTTTCTTAGATGCAGCCATAGAGGGACAAGGCCTTTGCCATCATGATATCTGCTTGCCCTTGGCAGTCCTGAGGCCAAGTCTGTATGGACAGGACCACGGAGTTCAGACAAGGCACCTGCGGGCAACTACTGCTCCTGCTGAATGGACCCAAGAGAGGAGCAGCCTGGGGGTGGGGGCAGGGGAGCACTGGCTGGAGCAGAGGCCAAAGAGCAAACAATTTCTCAGGCTAGAAATTGTGTGAAGGTCAGGCAGGAACCGTGTTTAGTAGGAGCTGCCATGCCATGCCATATTTACTATGCCATGTAAATTAAAATTCTCCATCAAGCAGCCTCCAAATGTCCCAGGAAAAGTAAGTTTGTCCCCATGGTAGGTGTTCCCAACAGCAGCTTTCATTCCCTCTCTGCAGCAGAGGAGCCAAGCTCATTACAAAGCTATGAGGCTCCTGATGCTGCCTTTTCCAAGATGGGAATCGGCATAACTACAGCTTATAAAGGCAAGAAACCAGATTTGGGCATGCAATGGAGGAAAAAATTCTCAATATTTAAGGTGGGGAGGAAGGGAAGGAAAAAGGAAGTGGAGGAAACAGGAAGGAAGGGGAAGGGGAGGGGGAAGAAAAGGGGAAAGGGAAGGAGAGGGGAAGGGAAAGGGGAAGGAAGCGCAAAGGAAAGAAGGGAGGGAGAAGAGAGGGAGGAAGGGAAAGGGAGAAGAGTAAGTGGAGGGCCAGTAACATGGGTGGTAAAAGAACTTAGCAAGTCCAGAAGAAGAAAAGAGGAAATGTATTGATACACTGCAAGGAAGCTGTTGGGAAGTTCCCAGAGAGGGCCATAGGCTTGGAAAGAGCCAGGAGCCTTGGAAGGGGTTTCTTGAGCCTGGGGAATTACAGGTAAGATCCACAGGCATGGGAAAGAATGTCAGAGAGAATGAGAGGCCGTTTGCCTCTGAAGGCGGTTGACCTATGTCGTCTTCACAATAAGGGCTGACACCAGGGGTGAGCAGAAAGTCATGCTTGTCACAGGAAGGAATGTTAGTGGGTGTTTTTGAAGCTCAATCTGTTTAAAGTTTATCATGTCCTCTTTGAACCATCTGGGTATATGAATGAACTCAAGAAAAGGAAGGAAGGAAGGAAGGAAGGAAGGGAAGAAAGGAGAAAGAGAGAAAAAGGGGGATTGGTTTAAATTGCTTTTCTTTAGTTTCAATTAAGATTTAAAGGAATAAAATTTGGCAATGAACATTTCCTTCCTGTGGCAGTTAATTCAATGATAAATCTTGGGCTATCTAGAAATTCCAACTATATCTGAGGGGTTTTTATCCTTAAAAATGTCTACCTCTTCAGAAGTACGAGAGTAGCACCCTAAAGACATGAACTCTTCTCCCTGAGAACAGAGCCTAGCTGCCATCTTCCTTGTAACAAGCATTTTTTTTTTTTTTTTTTGGACCAGGGATCGAAGTAGGGACCTTGTGCTTGTGAGGCAGGCACTGGAACCACCGAGCTAAATTCCCAGCCCCTACGCATTTTTAAAAGTAGCTGGCAAGGATCCCATCTAATGTCTGTCTGTGTTGCTAGACCAAATACCTAAGACTGTGCAATTCATCAATAATAGAAATTCTGAAGGCTAGAAAGTCCTGGATGAAAGCATCATGAATTCAGTATCTAGCTGTTACTGGAATTGATTGTCTGTGCTCACCACTTCCAAGTGACTACAAATTCAGAACACAGACTTGATGGAAGGAATTAGGTTGTGACCCTGAAGAGGACAGAGGGGCCTTTTGCCTCAACTCTCTGTCTTAGGGTGTGAAGGGCATTTGTAGAAGAAAAAGGGAAACAGCCAAATGGACAGGAAATCTACATATGAGCAGGATCTTCATCTCTAACATGGGCATCTCCTTTTCTTCTTTCCCAGAACACTGCAAAGGACCTCACTTTCTTTTTGGGTAGACACATTACTTTTCTTCAAGTTAATTCATATTCTCTGTGTATATTGATCACACAACAAATGCAATTTGCCATAAAACTGGAGAGAGCAGCGGGCATCTTTGAGACTTCTCTTTAGAAGTTACAATATCAGTAAAAGGAAAGAGTCATTAAAAGATTAGGGAGGGGAAGCCAAAGTAATCCTGCTAAGGGTGCCATCCAGAGGGAGCTGCTCTGGAACGCAGTGAAGGGCCAGTCTCTGCTTCCAAGATGGCACCTTGAACACTGTGTCTTCTGCAGGGTGGAAGGCAGGAGAGGGCCTCCCTAGCTTGTCCAGCTCTTCAGGGGCTCGACCCTCCTGACTTACCTCCTAAAGACCTCATCTCTTAGTAATATCAGATTGGTAATTACACTTCATATGTGATTTGTATAAGCCAAATCCCTGTACCATTTCTGGGGTTTGGAGCCAGCCGTTAGCTTAAGCTGCTGTACTTGAATCTACTGATATCTGTGTTTCAAGGAATTGAAAAAAAAAGTAAAAACGTTTGGTAACTGTGGGGCTCCTCTCACTGGACTAGACTTTCTTTGGGTGTGTTGTTTTCACAGTAAAATGGAAATTTTAGGACAATGAAGATGAAAAGGGCTTTCCTTTCCTTTCATTCTCTCTCCATGACACTCCTGAGAAGCATTTTATACCTTCCAGTGTTTCTCCCCTGCAGCAGGGTGCTGTTCCCTCTGAGCAGCACAGAACCCCAAACTGGCTCTGCCCGGTTAAGTTATAGAGCAAAGAATGGTGTCTGAGTGAGGATAACTGGGTTAGGGCTTCTGGGGTGGTGGAGGGTGGTCTGGGGCAACATGCTCCACTTCTTTACTTCCTTTGGGACCAAAGAAGGAGTCAGGGGTGGTGTCCAGCCTGAGCTTTGCCCACTGGAAGGAACACTTCACAGAACTGAACCAAGCACAAGCCCTGCATACCTCACATACGGTAGGCACACTGTACCACTTTCTCAAACGAATAAGTTTCTAACTCTATTTTAAGCTGTACAAGGAAGGCTTTTTCCTACTTTCTCACTCTTTAATATAAAAGTTAAGAAAGTTCAGAGGGACTTCATATAGAAATGTCCAATATGAAGAGTGGTTCTTTATTGGTATGTGAGTAGTCTATCTCAGGGGTCCGCAAGTTTTTCCTGAAAAGGGTCAGATAGCAAATCCTTAAAGGAATCCACTCTCAAGCACAAAAGTAGACATCAACAATACCTAAATAAACAAAAGAGGCTTTAGCCAGGGTAAGGCTGGACTTAGCCATGAGGAGCCTATGCTTGCTCTGTCTCTTTGGAAAGGGCACCATTTACTAGCTTCCAGATCCAGACAGCAAAGCCCTGATTCCACCCAGGCTTTAAGGTGGAAAGACATGAAAAGCTCTTCACGGCATAGCAGCCAGGAAGTAGAGAGAGAAGGGAGGAGCTGGAGAGAACTTCCGGGTCAGCCCCAGTGACCCACCCCTTCTAACCTCTGAATGTGAGATTTTTGGAGGACACTTTAGATCTAAACCGTAACAGTTATTATTGCTCTTAAAAATTTAATACTTTAGTGTTTTATAATTATGGTTTGACCCATATGTTTCACTTTGTTTCTTGTGACACTGCAAATGAAGCAGATCATAGTTTTTTTAAATTTTATCTTATTTTACTTGGTCTATTGAGATTGAACATGGCATACTTAGAATGAATCTGAACAGAGCTGACAAATGAGAAAAGATTATCTAAACTTTGTTTTTATTGGCTTATTTTGTTTGTCACTGTAGACCGATGAATTTAAAAAAATCTGTGAACTTGCAAGAACGGAGACTTATAAAAAGAAGGAAGAATTAGGAAAATTGAAGAATAGAATGACAAACATGAAACAAACAGTGACTATCAGCACAGTGGTAAGAAAGAATAAACTACATTTTTTGAAGCCTGACTTGGGCACCTCAGTGCGGTGATCGATTGTTTGCAAAAGGGAAAGGGGCCAAGAAATGGAGAGAGAAGAGACGGTGAGAAAAGGATTAAAATGTGTCGTGCGCATGAACCACCTCCCCGTAAGGAATGTGATCGCCACGTACAGCAAACACGCACTAGGAAAAAAACAAAGCTGAAAAACATTTCAAAGGAACCGATTTTAATTCATTCTCATGCCATTCTGGAAGAATACTTCTGTCAGGTTAATGCTTTCTGACACTCTTTTTTGAAGCGTTGTGGTGCAACTGTGTTTTCATCTTCAGGAATATGGTGTGAAGAAAGATGCTTTACGTACAAATTGCAGTGAAAATTTTCATCAAAAAACACATTTCGAACTAACCAAATATATGTGTGTATACATATATAAAAAAATATTTCTGTAAGATTATTTTATTTGACAGAAAAAAATTAAGAGCCACGGCAAGGCCTTAACTCTGAATGCAGCATAATAAAACTGAGTTCAGGCTGTCCATTAATATTGGGCACAGTAACATTAATTTGGAAAGAAGACTATTTGTCTATTTGAATTTAAAATACTTCAGTTTGTGCTTCTATAAAATAATTTATTGAAAGCTAGCACTGTGATGTGTATTTTGTAAGAATTATCTTTACTTTAAAAATCAGAAAATTGAAGTTTATGAAAGTGGTTAATGATAATATGACTTTGGTTCCAAATAAAACAGAAATACTTGTTATTTTTCCATGCTGATTATTGGAGTTAATAAGCATATTAATGTATTTCTATGTGTATTAAAAATCACATGCAAAATAATAATTTTATTAATTTTATTGGTACATTTTAGTTATAAAATATAATGATATTAATCATTGGAAATTTGCACCTTTACATAGTCTCTCTTGGCTCTTATTTTTTCCGCATTGCCCTGCCCTCCCTTCAACCCCTCCATCCCTCCCTATTTACAAAGACTTTGTTTAAAGTTTTTCATTTTCTTATATTAATTCCATTCTCTTCTTTCCTTTCCCCTACCTTTCCTACTTCCCCTTCCCCTTTGCCCTTTTCTTCCTATTTCATATTATCTATTATACCTTTTAGTCCTTATTTACACTTGCAGTTTCTCACACTAGAGAAACTATTTGGTATTTACGCAAGTGTAGCCTATTTATTTCACTTAAGATTATCACCTCAATGTGCATCCATTTAGCTATAAATGTCTCTAATTTCTCATTTTTTATGGCTGAGTAGTACTCCATTTTATTATAAAAAACCACATCTTTATCAAGTTTCTAGTTGATGGGCACTTAGGCTGTTTCCAAGCTTTAGCTATTACAAACTGTGCTGCTATGAACATGGATGCACATATATCGCTGTGGGATGATTCTTTTAATTCTTCTGGGAAAGATCCCCAGCAGGGGAATAGCTGGGTCAAATGGGACTTCCAGTCCTAGTTCTTTGAGGTATCTCCATACTGATTTCCACAGTGCTTGCACCAGTCTACACTCCCACCAGCAGTGGGCCAGGGTTCCTCTCTCCCCACAGCCCCACCAGCATTTGTTATTGGTTGATTTCATGATAGCAGCCATTCTTCTTTGGAGTGAGGTGGAATCTCAGCGTTGTTTTCATTTGCATCTCTCGAATGACCAGTGATGTTGAACATTTTTTCATGTGTTTATTTAGCATGTCTACTTCTTTGTCTGAGAAATGTCTGTTCATTTCAGATGCCCATTTTTGGATTGGGTCTTTAAATTTGGGAAGTCTGATTTTTTAAAGTTCTTTATAGATTCAAGGTAGTAGACCTTTATCTGAGGAAAAAGCAAGTGAAGACTTTCTCCCACATTGTGGCTTGTCTCTTCACACTGTTGATGGTTTCTCTTGCTGTGCAGAAGCTTTTTATGAAGAAGAGATCCCGTTTGTTGATTGCTTGTGCTAGTTCATGGGCAACTGAGGTTTTGTTCATAAAATCTTTTCCTACATCAATGTCTTCAAGAGTTCTACCTAACCTCTGTTCCAACTGGTTCAGTGTTTCTGTTTTAATATTTAGATCTTCAATCCATTTCTATTTTAGTTTAGTGCCTGGTGAGAGATATAGGTCTGGTTTTAATCTTTGGCATGTTGAAATCCAATTTTTCCAGCACCATTTATTAAAGAGGCTATCGTTCCACCAGTGAGGGTGTTTGGCTCCTTTGTGGAAGATGAGGTGGCTGAGAGTGTCTGGAGTTGTTTCTGCATCTTCTAATCTGTTCCACTGGTCCTCAGGTCTGTTTCTTTGCCAGTAATATGCTGTTTTTATCACAGTACCTTTGTAGTACAGTTTCAAGTTGGGGGTTGTGATACCCCCTACCATATCTCTGTTGCCTAGAATTGCTTTTGCTATTCTGAGTTTCTTCTTGTTCCAAATGAATTTTTGGATTGTTTTCTCAAAGTTCGTGAAGTTTGCTCCTGGAATTTCAATTGGGATTGCATTGAATCTATATAGCAGTTTTGGAAGTATGACCATTTTCACCATATTAATCCTTCCTACCCAGGAACAAGGGATATCTTTCCATTTTCTGATATCGTCTTCAATCTCTCTTTTCAGAGTGCTATAGTTTTCAGAGAAGAGGTCTTTGATTTATTTTATTAGGTTGATTCCTAGGTATTTCAGTTTTTTGGATGCTATCGTGAAAGGAATTGTTTGCCCTATTTCTGTCTCAGCGAGTGTGTTATTTGTGTAGAGGAAAGCTATGACTTTTTTGGTTGACCTTATATCCAGATACTTTACTGAATTTGGTTAGTAAGTATACAAGACTTTTGGTGGAGTTCTTGGGGTCTTCTATATAGAGTATCATGTCATCTGCAAATAATGACAATTTGACTTCTTCATTTCCTATCTTTATTCCTTTTATTTCTTTCTCTTGTCTAATTGCTGTGGCTAATGTTTCCAAGACTATGTTGAACAGGAGTGGTGATAGTGGACATCCTTGTCTTGTTCCTGATTTTAGTGTGAAGGATTTCAGTTTTGGACTATTTAGTATGATAATGGCTGTTGGTTTTTCATAGATGGCTTTTATCAGATTGAGGTAGAGACTGTCTATTCCAATATTTTGTGGAGTTAGTATCATAAATGTGTGTTGGATTTTGTCAAATGCTTTTTCTGCATCTATTGAGATGATAATATGGTTTTTGTCCTTGGCTCTATTGATACAGTGTATTACATTTATTGATTTCCGTATGTTGAACCATCCCTGCATCCCTGGCATGAATCCCACTTGGTCAGGGTGTATGATTTTCTTGATGATCTTCTGCATTCTATTTTCCAGTATCTTAGTAAGGATTTTTGCATCTATGTTCATTAGTGAGATTGGCCTATAGTTCTCCTTTTCGGTTGGGTCTTTCTCTGCTCTGGGGATCAAGGTGATGCTTACTTCCAGGAATGACTTTGGGAGTATTGCTTCCCTTTCAATTTCATTGAAGAGTTTAAACAGTAGTGGCAGTAGTTCCTCTCTAAATGTCTTGTAGAATTCAGCAGTGAAGCCATCAGGACCTGGGCTTTTCTTAAAGTAAGTTTTTATTTATATTTTTAATTTCATTGATTGATATTAGCTTGTTTAGAATTTTTAGGTCTCTTTCATTCAACTCTGGTAATTCATACTTATCTAGGAATCTGTCCATTTCTTCTGTGTTTTCGATCTCATTGGTATATAGGTTCTTGAAGTAGGTATTGATGATCCTCTGCATTTCTGATGGGCCCGTTGTAATTTCACCCTTTTCATTCCTAATTGCATGGATTTGGGCCTGTTCTTTCCTTTTTCTGATACTGTTGGCCAACATTTTGTCAATTTTGTTTATTCTTTTGAAGAACCATCTTGGCTTCATTGGTTTTTTGTATGGTTCTCTTAGTCTCCATTGCATTGATTTCTGCTCTCATCTTTATAATTTCCTCCTTTTTATGAGCTTTAGGTTTGTCCTGCTCTTTTTTTCTAGATACTTGAGGTTCAGCATCAGGTTGTTTAATTGGGCTCGCTCTGTTTTCCTAATATGAATATTCACTGCTATGAATTTCCCTCATAAGACTGCTTTCATTGTGTCCCATAGTTTCTGATATGTTGTATTGTCATTGTCATTTAATTGTCTGATTTCTTCTTTAATTTCCTCTGTGACCCATTGGTTATTCAGAATTGCGTTGTTCAGTTTTCATGTGTTTATGAAATTCTTGTGGTTTCTTTTTCTATGGATCTCCAATTTCACTGCATTATGGTCTGAGAATACACAGGGGATAACTTCAATTCCTTTGCACTTACTTAAACATGTTCTATGAGTGAATATGTGATCTATTTTGCAGAACAACCCATGTGCAGCTGAAGAGAATGTGTATTCTGATTTTGTGGGCTGGAACACTCTAAACATCTGTTATGTTCATTTGTTCAAGAGTTTGATTGCATTCTAGTATTTCCTTGCTTATTTTTTGTCTAATTGATCTATCTATTTGTAACAGTGGGGTATTGAGGTCCCCCACTACTATTGTATTAGTGATTATTTGATTTTTCATGTCTATTATTATTTGTTTTATATAGTTGGACACACTAGTGTTTGGTGCATATATGTTTACGATTGTCATCTCTTCCTCTTGGATTGTTCCCTTTACAAGGATGTAGTATCCTTCTTTGTCTCTCTTAATCAGTGTTGGTTTGAAATCCACTTCATCTGCAAAGAGGATAGCTACTCCTGCTTTTTGGGGGATTCTTGTTGAATGGAGTATTGTTTTCCAGCCTTTACCTTTCAGTCTATGAGTTTCCTTTTGAATTAAGTGTGTTTCTTGTATGCAGCATATTGTTGGATCTTCGTTCTTGACCCATTCTGCCAGTCTGTTTCTTTTGATTGGTGAATTGAGACCATTAACATTGATGATTATAACTGATACGTATTGACTTGTCATTGTCATGACTTTTTCTGTTTGTTGGATTCTCCCATTTTGCATTTAATTTCTCATCATACCCAATGGATTCATTCTACTGGGCTTCCTGGGGTTGTGATCCTCATTGTCTTTTCCTAGGATATTGTCTAAAATTTTTTGGAGTGCTGATTTGATATTCATTAAGTTCCTAAGGTGCTTTTTCTCATGAAAGTATCTTATTTCCCCGTCAATTTTGAAAGATAATTTTTCAGGGTACATCAATCTGGGTTGGAGGCTGTTTTCCTTTAGGGCTTGAAATACATCACTCCAAGCTCTTCTTGCCTTGAGGGTTGCAAAACAATATTGACATAACAGTAATATGGAAACATCTCATTTTCTCTCAGAATGCACTCTTAATTCTATTATTCTTTATATGGAAGTGATTCTACTCATTTTAATCCAATTATAGAACATTGATGGGTCAGGGATGTCCACGCTGTGCTTGCCTGGCAAGCACAAGCTCCTGAGTTCAATCCCTGGTACCAGAAAAAAAAATTGGTAATATCAGATATGTGCATTTGAAAAGATCATTATTTTTAGATTTAAACATAGTAAGGATAATTACAATAGGCTCAGAAAAATGAGAATATAAATTTTATATAAAACATATTTTGTCTGCAATCCCAAACTCAGATTTCCAGTTTGGGCTTCATAAATCATAAATCAAGCACTACCACTTCCTGAGCACTTAGTCTGGGAAAATTAAGTATAAATTCCTTAGCTTATCCTCCAAAGGTTCTTAAGGCCAACGTAGACAGGCTTGCAGGTGGCAGCCATAAACTCATCCAAACTTCCTTCTCTACTCCCACAATCATGCCTGCCCACCACAACCCACTATTAGAGAGAGTATCATTTAAAGCACCAACTGGAGGGTCCCACAGACCTGAGTTCAAATCTTCAATCTGTCAAGCTGAAGTTTTTTCACATGTAAAATGGTGCTATAAAGAGTTTTGGTGGAGATTAAATGAGGCCATGCCCACCAGGCTTTTGGCTCAGTGCTCTGTATTTGGTAAAGTTTATCATGGTTGTTGCTGAGACTAGAAGACAACATTTTGACTATGGACTACAGCCACAGGGAATTTCAGATTAACCTTCATATGGTCAACTTCAGTTTAGAAGTCTCTGCAACTAGGTCAAGGTAATGTGATATTGGCAGAAACAAATTGAGAAGGAATCTCAAGGCAGCCGACACATTCAGGGTGGGATGACTGAAGCTAGAGATAGCTAATGTCAAGACTAACCTCAGCATGTAGTCCAGATCCTGCTGAGTGGTCAGAGACCTGGCTACATTCAGCCAGTATTGATGGCAGTGCTAAAATTCTGGGCCACTGGGACTCTGGGACTAATTAGGATGCAGAAATTTAGCTACTAGCAGATACATGTTGCAAAGAAAGAAGCCATTCTGGGCAGCTTTCACCTCCCCATCTCATATAGCAGGGCTGTGAGCACCCCCGTGCTTCCTCAACCCAGGCATTTCTCTGACCTCCCAGCAAGGTCCAGGTTTACAGGGCTGAAATAACCTGTCCATGGCAGCTCTGTCAGAAAGCAGCACAATCTGTAAACAGTCTTCCCTCAGCTCCATTCTCTGTCCTCACAACGTAGAATACAAACCCAAGACTCAATGAGCTTGGCTTCTCCTTTCTTTATATCAAAACTACATTGCAAAAGTATCTATTTCACTGTAAATTTTTCTTATCGATATTCCTTCAAGTCATGCTAACATTTTTTCACAGTATCCAATTATTCCATTCCCTGAATATTAATTAAATATTGAGAAAGAAGATTTTCATCATAAATATAGCCATCAATGCAAAAACAAACAATTTTTGATTTGTAATATTCATTCTAGTATCTTGGGCTATTATTTTGAAGATACTTTTGACAATATTAATTTACTTTTTTTTTAATGCTACACAAAATGAATTCTTGTGTCAAATGAAAATTTTAATATAGTATTCACATTCTCACTGCTATATTAGGTCATCCTCCAGAAGAAATTTTAGGTTTTATAATGGTTTAAAAATTATCTTTGACTAAATTTATTTTATGAAGAAACAATTATAATGATTGTTTTTTAAAACTGAAGGACAGCCCCGTTTTACAAGTTGAATGAGTAAATCATGAATATTTACTAGAATCAAAAATCAAACTTGCTATGAATCATTTGATGATGATTAGATGCCATATTTTTGTTGAATTTTTAATAGGTTCTTAGTGATCACAATTTAGAGATAGCACAACTACAATCGTCAATAAAGGAGTGGGAAGAAAAGGTGGATGAAGTAACAAATGCTTGTAAGAGTCTAGAAAATAAAATGTTAGTATGATACTTTATTTTTTTTACTGAAGTAGCCCTAGATGTTAATATATTTCCCACACTATAACACAATACTTGAAGTAATAAACTTATAAAGAACAAAAGGTTTATTTTAGCTAACAAATTTAGAAATCCCAGACCGCGGTTGGTTGATCCCATTGCTTTGTGCCCATGGGAAGGCAGCACATCATAGCAGGAACATGTTGCAGAGCAAACATGCCTACCTCATAGTCACGGAGTAAAAGGCAAGAAAAGGAAGAGACCAAAGTCCCACAGTCCTCTGTAAGAGCGTACTGTCAACAACCTAAAGTCCTCCCATGAGGCTCTGCCTCTTAAAGGCTCCACCACCTCCCCAGAACACTGCCCTGGGGACCAAGCCTTTAATGCATTAGCCTTTGAGGAACATTCAAGATCAAACTCTACCAGTTAAAGTGCTGTTTTCATTCTTTAAAACATGTCTTTACTATTAGATGAAAATGCTGTTCTCTTACTTGTGTGATAGTTTTTGGCATCACCTCTTCATTTTATAATTAGCTAGTTTTTCAGATGACCTAGAGAAAAAACCTAAGGGTGATATAGTCACCTTGGGAAAGGGGAGGGACTCTTTGGATTGACTCTTTGGAAGCAGACTTCCAGAACTGCTTCAGAAAGTGACAAGAACAATGGGATAAGTGTGTTTTAAGTGAGAGAGAGTGCTTTGAGGCGCATTGATGGCAATGTGCCTTTAACTATAATATTTTTTGTAATTTAAGCATTAACTATATATTCTTACTTCAGTTCCTGGCTCCCAACAAAAAACATGAAAAGGAAACTTCCTATGGAGAAAGGCACTGGTGGGATGTGCCACAAGACTACAACCCAACTATCCATGCTGTTGTATTTGTTGTTAGTCAAGGGGAACTTATAGAATTTACTGAGAAAATTCAGAGAAGCCTCAGAGCAAAAACTGCTACATGCGGAACTGTACACTGAAGAAAGTCCAGGCTTCCTTTTGCCAAGTGTTTCATTCCTCTCTTTTTATCCACATCCAGTACCCTCTTCTTGGTCAGCACTTGGCAAAGCATGGCTGTGCAAACCCTCTGGATTGACCTGTCACAGGTGCAGCTGTCTGTAGAGATGAACCAGTACACCCTCCCAGGAGGTCTCCCAGATTCCACATCACCATGTGTTTGGCTCAGCTTTGGATCCTGGTCCAGTCAGCTGGGGCCAGGAAGATGGGGTTTTGTAATCTGTTTTATGGGACCTACCTTGGTGGCTCACTAACTCTAGGAGAGGGAGTTTAGGCTAAGCAAATTCCCAAAAGACAAGTAACTTCACATTGGAATCCTGTTATAACATGACTCATTTCTACATGGATTTAAATGTATTGAAATTTAAAAATATGTCTTCTAAAACAGGAATTGCAGAACATAATCCTAATCTACCATCATCAGTCCAAGAAATAGAAAAATCTTTGTCCTCAATATAAAATTTAAAAATTGGAAAGCTCAATTAATACCACAAGTAAAACTCAGAGAGAAAAACTTCTTAGTTTGTAAGTGACTCTGTAGTTTTAGTTCATACGTATGAAGTGTGGTGGAAAATACAGTGAATGTTTAAACTAAAAACAAATGTATTGCAGCAGTTCTTGAAGTCCTTTTCAAGAGTGTCTTTAGTTGTGTTGTCATGGTTCCCTCATTGTGCTGAGTAGATTCAAAACATTTACCTTTCATGGTCATTTTGACTTTGAGTAAGAGCCAGAAATCATATGGTATCAGATCCAGTGAATAGGTGAATGAGAACACACTGTAATGTTTTTATGAGCCTGCCTTTCTATTGGATAGCATTCAGCAGCAGCAGTCCTCACATTTCTAATCACACCCCGTAAAGACACTCGGGAAAGAGGACTTCCAGAACTGCTTCAGAAAGTTACAAGAACAATGGTACGCTTGTGTTTGAAGTGAGAGGAGGTCTTTTGTGGGGTAATAATGGCAATGTGCTTTTAACTGTAGTACTTTTTTTAAAATTTAAACATTAATATTTTGATTGCACCTCATATTTCAAGGCAAAACTAAACAAAGAAAAACACTGTGAAGTATATGAGACTGGTCTTTGTTTCTAACAGTTACAATTCAAAACCTCACTACCTAGTTGAAGTTTTATTCTAAGCATGTAAGCTAAATTGTCTTTACATATAGTCAAGGAGGAAATGAGGATTTGTTGATCTTCCATTTTTAACAGTTCATCATTTTTGATACTCCATCTTTTCAAGAAATTTCATTTATGTACAGTCTCACCAAAGAAAAATACTTTTGATTTGAGGATATTGGTTAACCTCCTTTTGAGTCCTAAAACTTTGCCCTCTTAATTACTTGGAAAATTAGAAGAAAATCATCTGTATTCTTTTTATTTAATTTCTTAATTTATTTCCTCTATATGTGAAGGTGGAAAGAGCCAACTTAATTCTTGGTTGGTGGATTTGAAGAACCAGTGATATTTTACAGTATTCTGTAAGAATAACAAGAAACTAAAATAATTTGCATGACTCCATCTTCCTATTAATCTATAAGCCTTAGTCCCCTCCACTATGAGATCTTTAACTTCATAATCAACAGCACTGTTACCCATTTTGAGGTCAAAATATCAAGGAAAACAAAAGTACTCAACCACAAGTATAAATTGTATGTGTTAGGACAATTAATAGTACTTCAAATGCTCCACAAGTTTATAGAAGACATTGATGGTTTTGATTCTGTTTTTTTCTTATTAATGATATCCAACATTATGTTTATACAGTGATTATAAATCCAGTGCTGTGGTCTCTCATTTCCATGCCATTCAACTGGCTTTCAGCCCATGGAAAATGTGGAGGTGGAAGTTAAATTTTGTACATAGATGATAGCCAATTTTTGACCCAGAGTGTATCCTTGCCAATAAAGTACACAAGGCTATGAAGATTATAGATACTCGGGAGGGCTAAAATTATTTCAAAATTGTCAAAATTACCAATAACTGCCATCATTTAAACTTTAATGGTCTAGACTATTCCTTAAAGTTCTTGAGTTCATAGTAGAATTTGACAAAACCTATCACTTGCTCCTTCCTAAAACATGTCACTCACTTGTCTTCCCAAACATCATTCTCCTTCTTCCCTCACTACACTGGTTTGTTTTCCTAGGAGCCTTTACTTGTTTCGAGTCTTTTTTATTCCAAATTTTGGAGTTCTCGACCCTTCACCATACCCTAATTACATTCTTCTATGTGATTTTATCCAGTCTCGTGGTTTTAAATACTTCTATACCTCAAGGACTTCTCAACCTATATAGGTCTCATATATCTAACCCTGACTTCTTTCTCTGAGTTCTAAATGCTCATATTATACAGCTTTCCATGGCCTCCCTACTTGGAGGGTATGTATTGGATATGTCAAACAAAGCACGTGCTATGCAGAACTCTCGATTTCCCAACTTCCTGAAACAGCTCTACCACAATCTTCCGTGTCAGTGGATACGACACCATTGTTTTCCTATTTACTCAAGCTAAAGCCTAGGAGTCATCCACCATTCCTCTTGTCATCATTACCTAGAGCCAACCCAACACTAACTCCACATCCAAAGGCGCATCTGGCTGCCATCATTTTTTCAATATGTCCTGAATTCGCCCGTGTACATCCATGTACCACTTTCACTATGACAGCCCCAGTTTGGTCTCCTGCTGTAGCCTTCTTATGCAGTATTTCTTCTGAACTATTGCCTTTCTCCACAAAGTAACCAGAATCATCTTTACAAGATGTCAATCAGCTCATGTCACCCTTCTGCTTTAAAAAATTTTCTCTTGATTCCCTTCAAAATAAACTCGGAACTCCTACCTTACCCACAATACCCTATTTGATCTAGTCCCTGTCTACCTCACCAACCTCTTTATACCCTTCCTTCAATACATCAAGCTTTTTACTCCCCCTGAGCCTTATAATTTGCCAGAGAGGCCCTCCTTAGCCTCCTGTCCAAAGGAGCACTCTTCTTTCAGGCTCACTATCTTTCATCTTTCTTTGTGCTCTTGGGGAGACATAACTCTCGGAGGTAGATGGTTTACTTTTTGTTACCTTGCTTCCGTTCTGATTACTCCACTAGAATGTCATTTTCATAAGAGTAAGGATGTTGAGCATGATGTTGCCCTGGTACCTAGAACAAACCTAGCAGAGCATGGATGCTCAATAATTGCTCTTAAATGAATGAATGAGTAAAGTATCAATTCATTAACTTAAAAGGGTAAAAATATTTATTTTAATAAATATATGTAAGTAGTTTGTATGGAAAGGTAAGGATGGGAAGGGTTTTTTTTATATAAATGTGGCTTTACTACAGAATATGTTCTGATATACATCTGTGTGGTTTCCTTTGTTTATAGGAGTTTTTTTACAGCTCACAAGGAAAAACTGGATGATTCATCAAAATATGAAAAAAATGAACACCTGTATAAAATAAAACAGGTAGGAAGACAGAAATGATGACTGTTAGATTATAATTAGGCTTTACTTTTTAGTTAATATTCTAAATATGTGTGAGAAATGTGTCATTTTCCAAAGTAAATTTTGTATTGACTCAAGATTTTGTCTCTTGCTCAAGTACTTCACATATATGAGAGAGCACAAGTTGTTCATGTGAAGATTCATTATTTTTCAGTCACTTTTCATGTGGATATGGTCATTTTGTGGACATGCTTCAGGTGAAATATTCAGAGAAACAGTGACCTTGCTGTTGGGTAGTAACCTGGTATGCTCTTAATAATATTACTATTAGTCAGAAGTACTTGAGACAAGGAGAATTCTCTAGACATTTTTTTTGTTTTGTTTTGCTTCTTTCCTTTTATTTTTTTCTCTTTTTAAACAATTTATTTTAAAAAATTTTTAGATATTCTTTAAAGTTAGGTTTTACAAAATATTATGTAATAAGTAAACAATCATAGGTGCAAACCAAGACTTAGCTGCAAGATATTCAGTGAAGTGTTCATTATGGTTGTGAAAAATGGGAAGGGGGAATATGACTAAAATCCAACAAAAGAGTCTTATTTAAACTAGAATTAGGATTGTTACAATATGTTAATGACTAAGACTGTATTGTAAAACAATATGTATAACATTCATTTATGTGTATAGATAGATAGATGGGCATTATGTGCATACCACAGATAGCTCAAATTCTTCTTACTCCTTGCATCAAAGAAGACATGTTCTTGGTATCTCCTCTCTCACTCCCACATGTGCCTACATAATTTTCATACTGTCAGTACTTCTACCTACATCAGTGTTGGCAAACCTTTTAGAGACTGAGTGCCCAAACTGCAACCCAAAACTCATTTATTTATTGCAAAATGCCAGCAGTGCCACTACGTGCATTGTTGTCCAATGCTGGACTGCTGGGGTGATGCTGGTGTTTTGGCTTGCCTGCAGTAAGAGAGGGCTCCTCTGCATGCCCACTCTGGCATGTGTGCTATAGGTTTGCCACCACTGGCCTACATCCTCTATCTCTGGATTGTACCAAGTCAACTATATATAAAATTCATCTTTCTCTAGTTTCCAAACCAGTGTAATAACACTAAGTACTTGGTAATCTCTTGCAAACTTTGTTGGAAATTTTAGAGGTCATGGAGAGGAATCCAATTACAGAGCACAAAGCCTTCTTGTTCATTGTATTTTCTTTGCCTCACAGCTCCTCGTCTGTCTTCTTGCTCTTGGATGCAGACCACCTCACATTCAAATTCTTCTTTCTTACAAAGTGTAACATCTCCCTGCCTCTGAGCCTGCACCCATGTCCTGAAGATCAGCAGGGACGTTATGATAGTATCCTCTTAGGAGAATGATACCAATGAAATTCTTTCTATGTGGGGTTTTGTGACCTTTTAGCATGAGAGATGGCTTTTCTTAGGGGCTGAGCCTACTCTGATTCTCTTAGTGGCAAGAACAATAGAAACCTGACAAAGTTGGTTTGTTGGTTCATTGGTTTTGAAGTTGTCTTTTATATTTAGGGCAAACTACTGTTTTCTTTCCATTTATTCCCTATTTGTAGGAGCTATCAGGCAACCTTCAGTCAATAGCTCTACATTTTTCAGCCATTATCATTACCTAAATGGTCTAGGACCCCTAATCTGGCATGGTTCACTTGCACAAACAGGCAGATATGGGGGGGAGCTCCCTTCAGTCCACAGCACTGAGCAAAATTCCACGGGTACAAGCGAGTGGTCACTTCACAGTGAGCAGGGGTCTGTACAATTTATTATTTTTATTTTTATTTTTTATTATTTTGGCACCAGGAATCAAACTCAGGACCTCAAACTCAGGACCCTGAGTTTGTGAGCCAGGTGCGGAGCCACTGAGCCAAATCCCCGGCTTTCAACTTAATAGGTAAAAACTGTAGGCTCTTAGTGAACCCTTAAATAGGATCTCACATGTTTTAAATTTTGAGGCTTCGAAACTGTGAATATGGCATATGTCCCATTTATTTTCAGTCTTCTTTCCTTGCTTTGCCTTAGCTGTTCAATTTCACAATGATGTGGCCAAATTTTTCTTTTTATTTATTCTCTTTGGGATTTATTTAGCTTCTTTAAAATGTAAAATTCTAAATCTCATAAATTCTGCAGAATTTTTAGCCATTATCTGTACACATTTTTGTGCTATTTTTCTCTCCTGTCTTTCTGAGACTCCAATTGTATGTATACAATTATTTGTACTGATTTATATATTCTCTATTTTATGCTGTCCTCTGTATTTTCTACTTATTGTTTGCCCATTGCAGCCTTCTAGAGAGAAGTCTTATCTGAGTTCTTGATTTTGGTCACTGTAATTTTCAGTGTTATTACAATATTTTGGAAACTAGAGAAAGAGATGAATTTTATATGTAGTTGACTTGGCACAATGCAGAGACAGAGGATGTTGGCCAGTGGTGCCAGACCTATAGCACAATTTTCCAACCTTCTGTTTCCTTTTACTGTTTCTCTTTCCAGCCATACTGTTCAAGCATGTCTAATATTTCTTTGATGATAATAAACTAAACTGTTTGATACTCCCAATATCTTATGTCTTTGCCAGTCTGTAGTCTTTCTCTATTGCTGTTTCTACCAATCTTGTTCATACTCTTAATTCCTTCTATCCCTGGTGGCAAACTGCAAGCTGCGCAGTGTACTCTTTAAAAATGTTCATAAAAACTGTTTGAGGCCTATAATGATAGTATCTTCCCCAGAACCAGATTTGCATTTACTTTCCCTCAGATGGGTGGGGAGTTAACCACCTTAATCTGCCTTAATTTCTCTGGCAAAGTCCTGGGAACTTCCAGACTGTAGTGGTGGAGGGTCCCCAGGCTCCAAGTCTGGGTGAGTTCCCTGCAGTGGCCTTCGTCCCCTTGCCACACAAGACAGCCAAATCTCCATTCCCAAGGGCTTTCTTCACACCAGTAAAGGTCCTCAGACAGGAAGGATTTGAGTGCCAACCTATCACTCTAGATTCTTGCTTTGCCTAGAATTGGGCCTCAGTAGTCCTCATTATCTTGTTATTTCTTCGACACTTTTAAGAAGCTTATTTGTGCCCAGCTATTTTAGTGGTCCTCAGCCAGAAGGTTATTTTAAACTACTCACCATTCCTACTAAACCTAATTTCTACCTCGTTTGAAACAATCCACCAGAGACATCCAAGCACAAAACTGTTAACTCTCACACAACACTGGTGGGTGCTATTATTTTGTCTTCAAATAGAAACACAGTCACCCCTTGGTATCTGTGGGCGGTTGGTTCCAAGACACCTTTACAGATACCCAAATTCAAGGGTGCTCAAGTCTCTGAGATAAAATGGCATAGTATTCGCATTTGGCCTATGCACATCCTCGCATATGCTCTAAATTAACTTTAAATTAAATTACGTTTAATTTAGAATGCCTTATGCAATTCTACACAACACTTCATTTAAGTAAATCCCATCTTCCTAGTACTTAGTGCACAGCAAATTCAAGCTTTGCTTATTAGAATTTTCTGGAACTTTTTTTCCCTAATATTTTCCATATGTAGTTGGTTAAATCCTCAGGTACAAAACCTACAGAGGCAGAAGATCAACTGTACCTAAGAAGAAGTAAGCATAATGTCTACTCAAAGAGGCTTTGAGCAAGAGTTTTGCAGATGTCACACTTTTTTTTCCCAGCATGGAGGTGGCGATGGTGTTGGATTGTCAGGTTTGTTATTGCCATGTCAACACGGATTATTACTTTATGGTTTCATGTCAGGTTCAGTACATTTCTATACTTTTGTCATAACTTATAGAAGAGGCCCCAAGATGTACAATTGCATATTTGCTATAGAACTAAACCTCGCCACCTTTGTGACATATTCTTCTGTGCTGAGCAATGTTCTTGATGTTCTAGAGAAATGTTCACCTGATGTTGGTGCCTTCCAAGGAATCATGAAGCAAGTCCTCTCACTCAATTTCTTTGTTTTTCTCTAGCTGGCTGAAAAACTGCACAAAGTTAATTTAGAGAACAAAGAGCTACAAGAGAAAATGAATGCTAATTTACAACAGTATAGGATTGTGTTAACTGAAGAAGATCAAGTTTTTTTGCAGAAACGGAAACTCTATGACGCGTATGTTTCTACCCATGATTCCTTGGTGAATCAACGTGCCATAGTTATGAGGTGCTGATTTTATGTTCATTGTTGTGGCATGTAAGCTACAGAAAATTGTTGCAATCACTTTATCTTATCTAATATACACAGCATTCAGAAAATGATACTGTTTGTATTTCTCAAACAAAAACCATCCCCAGTTCAATACTAAGTTAGTTACCAGTCAGAATCCTAAAGTGTGTTGATGACAAATAACTGGAACACTGAAATTACGTTGCCATAATTTTTTCCAGAATTGAGAACTGAACCCTGGGCCTTCACGTTAGGTTACACCCCCGGCTCTCTTTTTAGGGTTTTGAGACAGGGTTTCACTAAGCCACTAAGTTGCCCAGCCTGGGCTCCAACTTTCCATCCTCCTGCCTCAGCCCCTCAGAGTGCCGGGATGATTGGCATTGGTCACCGTTCCCCTTTTTGCTTTTATTTCAGGCTGCCACAATACCGTTCTATAGGCTGGCTCCCTAAGTACCCTTGTTATGGAGACTGAGAGCATCAGGCTCCAGGCAGGGCCTCCTGCTGACTTGCATAAAGCCTCCCTGTCTGTCTCTGTCTCTGTCTCTGTCTGTCTCTCTCTCTCTCTCTCTCTCTCTCTCTCTCTCTCTCTCTCTCTCTCTCTCTCTCTCTCTCTCTCTCTCTCTCTCTCTCTCTCTCTCTCTCTCTCCTCACATGATGGAGAGAGAGGCTTCTAGTACCTCTGCTGATAAGCCCATCCCTTCCATCATAAGGGCACCGTCTTCAGGACTCATCCACATCTGGTTACCATCCAAAGCCCCATCTTCATCATTGTTCAAACTGTGTTAAGATATTGACCCTCATGCTCCTCATTTCTGCCCTTCCTTGCTACCCTAATCTCTTTATCACATCGAGGGTTGGGGTTTAACATAAATTCTGGAGGCAGGCACAACTCTGTAGAAGCCTTGAGGCTGAGCACCTAGATAAAATATTTTCTGTTACACGAATTTTGCTATGAAGGCCTGGACATTTGAACAAAACTATAAACTTCACTGTGCCTCATTATTGTCTCCTACAAATTGAAACAAAAAATTAACTAATTTTTAAAAACTGCCTCCTCTCTCCATGCACTGGGTCAAGCACTTATTTAATCATTTCATCTTGTGAGATAGGTAGTGTGACTCCACTTCACAGGTGGTAAAACAGAGGCTTAATCCGTAGGTGATCACACTGCTGAGGGTGGGAGCCCGGATTCAGAGTCGGTCTAACTGACTTCACCTCTCACTGAACAGGCCAGGATTGATAAGCACATGGGAAAGTCACACACACTCATAGAGTGACACATACAGCTCCCTTGTGTGCTTTACTGTTTTGGTTTGTGTTCCTTCAGTGCCTTGGGAATTTTTATAAATTTTAGGAAAATCCTATGTGTAAGTTTATACTTATTTAGCTACTTCCAGCAAAAAGACTGTTTCTATCTTTTTTTAACTAGAGTATTTGTTAAATCACTCATGATTTAAACTTTCCATACTATTTTTAAAAAGTTTTGTGTTTGTGTATTTTCCCACACTGGAGAATTAAAATATAATTCTTGCTTACAATGTGCAAGTCACTGGGTTTGATCCTCAGCACCACAAAATAATAAAAGCGGTTATTTCACCTTTCAACGACTATGCTTTTCTCATGGTAGAAACCAGGGAGAGCTGGCATTTATTGCACAAAAAGAAAACTTCCTTGCACAAAGACAAATAGACATCAAAAATATGGAAGAAGGACTTGTCACACTTGAGGATCTTCACAAGTATGTTTTATGGTTTTTGTCCTTAGGATTTTTAATCCTTTCTCTGCATTTTATTTTTTAATAAATGACAAGAATAAATCTATGTAAATTTCCAATATGCTACCGGGAAGGAAATTCATAACTAACTCTCTGTTTTACTGTCTGGGAAAGTCATTATTACTGAACCTTTCATTGAAGAGATAGGCTCTGAACTCTACGGCAGACAGAGGGAATGGGCCAGTCCTGGGTCCAGCGACAAGAATGTGCCTGAGAATTTGAACACCGACCCCTTATGTAATCCGTTTCTGTCAAAATCACATAAACTTTCACCTTCTTCTGATTAGTAAACTAATCCTTATGTCTGATTTTTAAATTTAAATACAGAAATGTGTACCTTGAAGAATAAAAGTTTACCTTAATCTTTCCATGTCTCTACAGAGATAATCACTGTTAACAGTTTGTCATACACACTTTCAAATATAACTATTTATTTATCTATATGTCTGTGTGTTGTGCATATCTAAAAATTAGATTGTGCTCCTCTATAACTGGTTTTTTTCCACTTAAAATCACATCTATGAGAATGATAAAACAAATATAGTAAAGTGGTAATTTTTGGAGAAGTTGGAGAAAGCATATAGGAGTTGTTTTTATTCTCTTTTACATTTACCTGTTGATTTAGAAATTACTTCAAAATGAGGAAAAAAGTCATTGCTATGGCTTGTATCTAGATATCCCCAAAGCCTCGTGTAGTGACAGATGGGGCTTTGCATAGGTAGGGATTAACGATGCGATTAAGGATGCGATCCTGAGACTGATCCTTGCTGTGATGCCCAGACTAAGGCTTCCCCGCCCTGGGCACAGGCGGGTAGCCCGGATAGAATATAAGGGACAGAAAGAGGGTTGCTGTTATTGCTTGCTGCCCTTGCTGCCTTCTGTCTGCTATGAACTGTTTCTCTTCTGTTATGTCCCTCTGCTATGCCATGCGTGCTGATGCACACCTATAATCCCAGCACTCAGGAGGCAGGAGAATTGCTACGAGGTCAACACCAACCTGGCCTATATAGTGAGTTCAAGGCCAGCCTGAACTACACAGCAAGACCCTGTCTTAAGGAAAGGGGGGAAGGAGGGAAGGAAAAATAGAGTTAAATGCAGTTTCATCTTCCTCAGAAACAATCCAAATTTTACCATCAGTTGTGATGTCATTATTGCTTGGGTCACTAGGAAGATCAGAGGCAGATTTGTGGCTTAATATTGTTATCCCTTTAGTAATTTTTATTTTTTTAAGTTCTTTTATTGGTACATTTTAGTTATACAATTCGTTTACATTTATCATTGGGTGCTTGTACCTGTACATGATGTATCTTGGTTCTTATTTTTTTCCCCATTGCCTGTGCACCCTTCACTCCCTCCACCCTTCCCTATTTACATAGATTTCATTTCCATTTTTTTTCTTTGCTCATAGTTTTTCCTTTCCCTCTTTTCCTTTCCCCTTCCCCTCCCTTCACCCCTTCATCTTTGGACCCTTTTTCCTACTTCAAATGATCAATTATTCATTTTAATCATTTTAACCCTAGTTTACACTATCAATTCCTCACACTAGAGAAATGATTCGGTATTTA